TAAAAGTCACCCCAAAAAAGTTAGAGGACAAAACATCACCTTGGATAAAAATTCACCCGGAAAAAACATCACCCAGATAAAACATCACCATGAAAAAACTTCACCCGGAAAAAACATCACCCAATCCGATTAAAAACTAAAATTATTACTGTTATTACTCTATCATATGATTTTCTTTAATGTATTTTTAAATGCTGTGTTTTTTTTATTTCAATTTTTATTCCTATTTTATTTTCTTGACGGAGGTGGTTTATTTTGCTAGTTTAGTTTGAGCGCAATTGAATTTGGGAAACTGCTCTACATAAATGTATTTTGATTGATTTGATTGATTGATAAAATTACTAATAAAAGATGCATTGTATAATTGTAAACAGGAGAAATCATTGCAAATTAAGTATTAAAAACAGAGTTTTTAAATGTAATCGTAATCTCTTGTAAGTAGTATGGTATGTCCTATCGCTTGTAAAGCTATGGGTATGGTAACAAACTCATTATTCAGATCGTTGCAAATGTTTCGCAATCTTCGTTGATGGTTAATTGTGTGTTGAGATGTTTTTTTCAAGGTTGGTCGACCTTCTTGAAGTTGATTAAATGCATTGATATTCATCGATCTGTCTAACTGGAAAGCTCTCAGTAAGTTCCAAATTGACGGGTTAGAATGGCCCACTAAACTCCTAAAAGAACTGTTCCAGCCTTCGCAAATATTGTTTGTTCGAGCATTCCCACTAACTGTTATTTCATTCATGTTCCAAAGTTCAGGGGGAAATACTGGTGGTGTCCTCCTCAAAAGTATGGTGAGTGGATTATTGCCGGGCACTATTCTTAATTTTCCACGACAATAAAATTCATCAAAATAATTGACAAATTTTCTTATGTCGTCATCATTATTTGGGATGTTATTTAACAAATAAATTATCCCTTCTTCCACATCTTGGATTCGTAGAAAGGCGAGCCCATCGACCATTCCTACAAAGTGTCTTATGTTTTCATTTTGCTTATAAGTCGCACTTAATCCAAGTTCATTAATTTTCCTCCAGGAACTTTGTGTCAGATGAAAAAAACATGCTTTAATCTGAACGTGGTGACCAAACACGTCTTGAATTCCTCTCCGGGGGGCAATTTCGAAATCAATCATAACATCAGTTGGTTGTAATGTTAATTGATGTCTCTGTGCAACATCCTTCAAAGCTCTGAATAATTCTTCATAGCTTTGTTGAGTTTTGGTTGTCATTAAAACATAAACGCATGTTATGTACAAATCATCTCTCGTTTGGATGCGAATTATGTAAATTTGATGAAAAATCCTTGGGCATAACGAAAAATTTCCATCCATGAACCATCTAAA